CCGGGTCTAGGAGGTTCCCAGCACATGACTCCTGTCTCTTCTCTACGGTAGTGAGTTCCCCCACTTCTTGCCTCTAGGATGGTCCAGTCTACCAGGCAGCCTTTCCTTTATAGACTCTCAGTGGATGCAGCTGACCTCTGCCTGGACAGTCAAAGTTTAGGCATACTCACCATGCCCACTGCAGTTTGCTGCATGGAAGATGTGCCTAGTGTTTCTGAACTTGAGGAATCTGGAAAGACAGATCAAGAGGTTTGCAGAGAAGGGCAGGGGCCAGCCTGGGAAGGCTCATTGGTTCCCCTGAAGTAGTTCTAAGAAGGAGCAGTAACAAGACCCACAGTTATTTATCAATGTATGTGTGGTAATTGAAGGGAAACCTCACCCAGAGGGAATTCTCCAGATCTCTTTGGTTCCAGATTTCAGCCTTAGGAGCAACAGCTCACTTGTGTTTGTAATGTTTGACATCACCCCTGTGAACTCCACCTAAAAGCACACAATGATGAAGATACAAAGCCTTCAAATGAGTTTTGAGTGTCTTTCCAAAGAGATCAAAACCCTTGGGGTAGTGGTTGGTTATCAGCCACAGTATTCTGAATACTGAATACTCTGAATACTCTGAATACTCTGAATACTCTGAATACTGAAAGTGCCCGGGGACTGATTCAGGGATTCTTTAATAGTCTCTGCATTGATGCCATGTAGGAATGATTTCTTTTTATGGGAGAAAAGGCACAAGGACTGTTAGGGTAATGCATTGTTATATAGCTCTGTCCTTATAAGCACTGTAGGACATACTCCTTTCAGCTTCCAGTCCTGGGTTGCCTCCGGTGGGCTAGGCTGCCTGCCCAGAAGTTGACAACATGTTCTCACCATCTGTCTCTTGGAGACATAGGATTTGCTGGTGACTTGCCTGGGGGCCCAGGGCTAGTAAGAGGCTAATGGGAATTTGGTTTGTCTGACTCCAAAGCTAGAGTGCTTGATTGGAATAAGCAACTGAGACAGCAGCAGCAAGTTCCCAGGGATTTTCCCAAAACACAGCCTGGGGATGGGAAATACGGTTAAGCCACAGAGTTACATTGTCCCAGAGCAGACTGGGCCCATCTTGCCCTTAGTGTGTTAGCATCTGGACAACTCCCTGTAGCCATTTGTGGAAGAAGTGAATGAGTGTCATTATAAAGAAGATACCTGAGAGGCATGAGGACAGCATGCTTCAAATCAGCAAGAGTCCTTCTCCTCTAACCCAGGGCAAGCTCCAAGGCTCTGGAAGCGCTCCCCTCTCCCATGGTCATGGACTTTGGTTTCCCAGCTGGAGAAGCTGGAGAACATATGAGGAGTGAGTGAGGACCTTCGTGTGTTCTGCCCAGACCTGCTCGCTGACTCTGGGCCCTGAGTTCTAGCACGTCTCAGCCTCTCCCAGCTCTGGCAAAGTTGGCAGAACTGGTTTCAGATCTTTATACCAAAAAATCAAAACCTTCCAACTCACAGCGCCCCTATGAGACAGGGCAGAGCTGCCCCTGCTTCCAAAGCTGCCATCTTTCTAGCAGCAAGCTGC